TGCTTTCTATAAAATAAAAAATATTCTAATCCACTGTCCTGTTCTCAGAAAACATTTCCAAGTCTACTAGACTGACTGACCCAATCCTTTCAATTGCTTTAATTTTCCATCTTTCTTCTGCTGCTCAAAGCAACCAGATGGTCTGAATAGCTTCTTGCCCATTTGCACAGCAACGTATATGCCTACTACAAGATGAAACAAGTTTCCTGCTGAGGAACTGAAGCAGCAGTCAGCTGTCCTCAGCTGGAAGGACACCTCATTAGATCCTGTAATATTAAATCTGATAGATGATGGGAAACCTGTTACAGCTTTGGAAGGGGACAGAAATGCATAGAAATTATTGCTAATTATTTTTACTTACCTTTAATAGGGAGAGCGCTATACAGCTAAAATAATATTGACTTAATTTATTCATTACTACAAAAAATTATTTCTGCACCTAATAAAGTGAACTTGTGCTTTAGTTCTGGTGTTTGTGTCCTTGCAAGACAAAGGTGTGCATACAGTAATTCATTGTATTAATTTTCTACACTAAGTATTTACCATCCTAAGCTAAGAAATATGGAGACAGGACTGGTTTGGTGTCCTTCAATGAGCATGCTAAGTACTGCACTCATACCTCTTTCCTTTATCAACTAGTTTATCTGTTGGTGGACACATTTTGTCTGCAAGGCAACTTTATACTGACATTTGAATTTCTGAAGATTTTAATCTCTAGTCAAGTGTTAGTGTGACATATGAAGTTGAGTAATTACATCTGGAGTATAATTTATATGTAAAATGAACTGATGGTGACTGGAAAACTATACACCTTCAGATAAACTGTACTGCTTCTCAGAGTAAAAACGGATTTTTCCTAGGTCAGTGTAAAGTGGACACAGGAAACTATTGCTAGGGTGGCAGTATATATATTTCCATCCAGTAAAGACTAAGGAAGCAATGCAACATCATACAGGGTGCTGGTGATTAACCTCTTCCACATTCCCTGCAGTTATTTTCTTGAAGAAAAAAGTGTTCAGGAATCACAGAGCAACGGGGGGTGGGGGGGGGAATTATCACCTGCAGTGGCATATCAATGCAGTCCACAAGAAAGATGAACCTGGTCTCAGCTGGAACCAAAACTGGGGCCTTATTAAGCCTAATTCTTTAAAATTCATCCCGTGGGTTGTGTCATTCACCTTAACTCATTTAGACTTTCCTGAAGTCAGTCTTCCGTATTGCTGTTTTTAAGGTATTGCTGTTTTTAATGTGACAGAGAGTTCTGTCACATTAAGGCAATAATAAAATACAAGTTATCCATTCCCTGTTTTATATGGATATGGGCAAGCTTCTTCAGAAATTCATGGTGTTCCAAAAATTCATGGTGTTCCAAAAATTCAACCTGATGCTCTTGCTGAAATATTGCCATGGCATTGTAGAATCACTCTAGATTGAAACAACATTTGAGATCACTGAGTCCAGCCATTAACCCAAGCACTAACAATTCCACCACTAAACCACATCCCATGTATGTGTGCATCTAAGATACCGGTGATCAGATTATTTTATTTATAACCTTCAGAACAAGCTTAGCTTTAAACTTTTATCATTGTGCTTTTTAGTTAATGCCTTGACACTGTATTTGAGCCTTTTTCATATTCTTTTGAGCTGTATTGTTCTGCAGGAAAGAGCTGACCCTAGCAGAACACAAATTATGATTTTCACAGATGAAATAATTACATTTGTATTACATATGGACTGTAAGAATAAATCTATTTTTTTAGCATCATTTAGTGCTTTCAAATAGTCACTTTTCATTAGGGCAGTGACAGACATTTGTTTCAAAATGTTCTAGGGAACAGTTATCCAAGAGATTAAATAATAAAGTAAAACGTGCATTAAGAATTGAATTACAGGTTCATTGTAGCCTAATACATAATTATTAATTGGAATTAAAGATATTCTTTTGTTTGGAAAGGAAAGATAGAAGTATTTGACACACTGAAAGCGTCAGCATGAAGGTAAGGCACCATGCCAAATGCAGACAGAAATATTAGTAATATGCTACTGACACTTATTTTTATTCTAATAGAGAACCTTGTTTGTCCAAGCTGTTTGAAAATAGTCTGTGCGCTTTGTATTTCACTACACACTCTTGTGTTATTATTGTTTGCATTTCCTAGTCTATTTAAATCAATTGAATGTCAAGGAAAGCATAATTATTGAGGGCACCATGTGCACTTGATTAATTTACTAAGACTAATTTTAAATATATCATGGATATTTTCATTACTTTGTTCTTTTCATGAAAAACAAACTTTGATTTATTTAAATGAACACAAGTGTTTGATAGGAACATATTTCAATATTCTGTGTTCTTCGTCTCTGATCCAGGTAAAAGAGATTTTATATATTATGTTTTATTAGGCTTGAGAGTCTGTTCCAAACAAATAACTAACAGATGAACACATACAATTAACAAACACATTAGTCTTGTGGCCAGAGTACAAATGATGCTATTGGTGCGTGTAACAAAGCAATATGGAGGATGTATCAGTGACTATAATACAATTCTTATCAGTCAAGAAACATTGCTGGAAATGAAATATTCATCACATGATATTTTTTCTGTGAGAAGCTGTAGTTCATCTTTTGAATGACACCATTCAACTGGATTTAGAACACAAAGTTTTCCTAGCTTCCTGAGCAGGCAGGCTCCACAGCAGCAGTCGCTGCTCAGTTTCTAGGCACTTGGGACATTTGTCATATCTTTTCTGACCCATTCTTTATTGTCTTATCTAACTAGTAGACTCCATTATGGTTACTAAGAGCCTTCCGAACAGATATTCTTCAACCAGAAGTTGTGAGTTAACAGAGTTCTGCACATTATAGTTTTCAGTGATTTTTTTTTCCATTCCCCTTACTTGACAAAAATAATAAAAGACGAAAAAAGGGGAAAAAACCAATTGTATTTGTTGCACCAATATCCATTCATTCCATGGTCCCAGTCTCCTGTGATGAAATCTAACATTGTCTCTTATGGCTTCTTCCCATTCTTTTTGTTTAAATTATCTAAAATACAGTAGTCAAGATTACTAATGATGAAAACTGTACTTTCTCCATTTTTTTTTCCTGCATGCTTCAGAATTATTTGGATCCAAAGACAGCATTTGTTTTGTTTGGGGCGTTTGATGCTTTTTCAACCTAAGTACTTGTATTTGTTGAGAACAGCAGAAGATATCTCTTTATGTCTCTAGTACTGTTTGCAGCAACTTTAATTGAAGAAAGCTGAAAATCAAAAGGTGATCATTAGTCACACAGATTTTTCAGACAGTTATCTATAAATTCAACCATGTATTGTAAAACTTTATTCTTTGCGAGATCTGAAGAATATCTTAGGAAATGGAGCAGGCATTCACTGCATTTAACTGCTCCCTTTGGGCAAAATGTCCTTCTCACTCTTGTAACTAAAATGCAGAGGGTTCAGTCTAAGAAGAAGAGGTTAGGGTGAACTAGGAGTTAGAAAAGGAAAGGGCTGACCTCTTGTTATACCTGGCTGTTTCTTTACAGTAAGTTGTCATTATTGCATGGGCATCAAGTTTTGTGAGGAACTTTAGGTCAAGAACCCTTGCAACACCCAGTAGTCTCTATAAATTCTTGCAGCGCTGTTGGGGTTTAAGTACATTCTGTGCTAGTACTGGTCCCATGTTAATTTCCTTTAATTTATCCAATGCAATTTAAGCATTTTATCCCCTAAGCCTTTAGGGTAAGGTAGTATGTGGAAATTCCTCAAGAAGTATGAGACCAAAAAAAAATCAAGGTTCTTTACATTCTAGATTAACAAAAAATTTATTTCTTAAAGACATACAACAAAAAAATAAAAGAACTTTGTTGGCACTTTTTATAACTGAAGTCTGAGGAAGTCTAAAGTCTATTTTTGTTAGGAAAGAACATTTGTTTTTCCACACTTGAGAATGACAGTTTGATTGATCTTGAGCATGTAATGGACATAAAAGCAACACAGGAGACAGTTTCCTACTTTGTATTTAAATATGAACAAGTATGAACTCATAACTCTTGACTGCTGGAACTGGTTAGGGAAACTATCTCTCTCCTGCCTGAGCTCAAGAATTCTTGATAATTTCTAAATCCATTCTTATTCCCCAGCTTGAAAATGTACTTAATGTAAATTAATCTAAGTACATAAATATTCTACTCCATGTTTTGCTGTTACATGCGTCAGATATTTACTTTGGTCTTTATGCAGTAACCCTGTTACTGTGGGGTTTAGAATCAGCAATCACAAGTTTGGGGCTGTTTCCTGGGACTCTGCATATAGCTTTGGTTTCCACTGTTCCAGAATAACAAATTTCTGTTGTAGGCACTTGCAGAGAAAAGCTACTAGACTAATCAAATGGATTCCATTTTTTAGCCTAATGAGAAAAAAAGTCTAAAGTCCTAAGTTTGCTCTCCTAAAATACCTAGCACATAAAGCCCAAGGAAACAGAAGGCATTTTCATGCTTGAAGTATTTTTTCTTATAACAGCTCTTTTATTCAAATATCATTACATCATGTACTGCATTGGCTTAGTAAATCTAGTGAATTATTAAAGGCATTGGTCCTCTATGGCAGTTGTATATATAAAAGAAAATCAATATAATCACTTGGGTTAATTCAGCACTTGGGTTAATCAAAGTCAGAAAGCTGTGTTTGACAGCTGATGGATCATTTCTTATAACTTGAAGCGTTATTTTAAAAAGGCTTGATAAAATCAGAGTTCAGACCAAGAAAACCTACAGGCAGGTCTCTTAATGAACCTGAGTTTTTTTTTCAGAGTACTAAAACCAGAATCAAACACCTCCAAAATTGCCCCTGCAAGCTTGTGTAAACAGCAATAGAAAAATTATTACTGAGTACTGAATTATTACTTGTTAGCACTGAGTCAATGTCTAGCTTTTAAGTTTCGCATGGTTCACTAACTTCTTTGTTTCCTGTGTGTGTTGAATTTTTCTCTCCACAGAGATCTGCCTTTTGACCAAAGGCCGTCGAACTGCCAGTGTAAGAGCAGACACATACTGTCGCCTGTATTCCCTCTCAGTGGACAATTTCAACGAGGTCCTGGAAGAGTACCCCATGATGAGAAGGGCCTTCGAAACAGTGGCAATTGATAGGCTAGACAGGATAGGTATTTATTTTTTTCCATATGCTTAATTCTTAAAACCTTTCTGCATTTTCATTTCCTTGAGTTGCATGATAAAACGCCACTCTTAAAAAATGAAAACTCCTGTCATAAGTTTTGTTTGTTATACAGCACTAAATGTTTTGTTGATCTATACATAACACGTGTGCCAACATGAAATTTTGCAATCTCACTTTTAAATAATAAAACCCACGAAGTTTTAGAAAGTTTTCATACTCTTCTAAGCATATTTTTCATCCTTTAATTATCATTAGTATTATTTATTAGTCCTGTAGATTTCTTTTGCTGCCTTCAGCACTTGATAGGATTTATGCTGTTTCATGAGCTGTAGATGACATTTTCCTAAATAAATTGCTTAGAGATGACATCTATAATGCTGGGAAGAGCTGAAGCCTCTCAGCACTCACAAACTCCTTGTTTCTTGAGGTGAATTAATCCTTTGCAGTAGGGCTCTCATTTTCCTCACAACATGGGCACTGCTAGCCTTGATGGCTGCACAGTGGCATTGCTCAGATCTGCTTGCAATCAGAAAAGCAGGCCAACAACATCCAAGTGAAAAAGGCAGAAAGGTATGGCAGATTATCAAAACGGGGGTGTGAAGTTGCCACCGTGCATCCCAATATTCTGGACCTCTCTAATAGGACACAGTAGGCAAAATATATGGTCTTTGGTCAGGAGAATTGCACTCTGATTATCGACACTGGTTTTAAAAGGCAGCTGTGAAAAAACTCACAACTTCACAATAAAATTCCAGTGTAAGGATTTCTCCACATCCCTCTTTCTCAATACTTGTAGTTTCTTCGAAATTAAACCAAAAAGAATTGCAAAGAAGTGTCGTGCTGCCTGTTCTAAGCTGAAGATGTGATTTGGAAAAAAGTATCTTTTCTTTAATATACCAAAAAGAATTGCAATACAGGTATACAGGTTTCTAATTTTAATAGAGATGTTTTAGTATTCTGCAGATTGTGAGCACTCCATGCATTAAACTCTTAAAATTTGTCTCTCGAGACTCTCTGAAAATGTAGTCCAACTCTAAGTAATAGGTGCTTGAATAATATTAGCAGTAAAGTCCAGTTCACTTGGGAATAGCAATCCCATCTGAAGTGTTTTATAAAAAAAAAAAAAAAAAAATAATGGAGCAATTGAGTGCCATTGTGTTCCTGTGCATCTGATGACTCAGACAGAATAGCGTCTACATCTTGCAAACACTGGAACCCATCAAGCAGACATTAGGATGCAGTGTACAGCAGTCTTTATTGTGCAAGCAGGTTGTCACATTAGCTATAAGTTCATATGAGTTCACATTTAAAAGGATGATTTCTTGTCAACTGGTGGCCACTGGTTACTAATGTCTAGTTATCACTTCCCAGGAATGTGCTAGATGGCAGGTGTATTTACGTTATGTAACAGCTCAGTGGAAATCTGGTTTTGCAATGAACAGAGAAAGATGATGTAGATGCAGAGCACGGTAACTCTTACTGTAAGCTGTTCAGTAAATTGCCATTCTTACATGTAATTGTAGTAACATCAGTAAACTGCAAGCGAAGAGGCACATAAAGTCCAAGCATCTGAGCGCAGGGGTCTTACACGAGCCCGCTGTGCTGGTGCGGGGAGGGGATGTACGGGCTGCAGGTGGAGGCAGCCATGGGGAGCTGTGACCAGCGTGGGCCACTGTGGCAGTGCCCGGGTGGCGCAGTCCCTCCTGCACTGGGCTGGGGCGGAGCAGGGGCCTTAGTTCAGCGACCTAAGAGGCTTTTACAATACACAGCACCCAGTGCTGGGTGCTGAAACACAAAGCGAGAGTGGGGCTCTGCCCCCTGTGCCTCAGGATCACTAACTCTTCTGCCTCTCTGTGAAGGGAAGAAGAACTCAATCCTCCTGCAGAAGTTCCAGAAAGACCTCAACACCGGCGTTTTCAACAATCAGGAGAACGAGATCCTGAAGCAGATCGTGAAGCACGACAGGGAGATGGTGCAGACCATCGCCCCGGTGAGCCTGCAGCAAATGCCGGCCCTCAACTCCAGCACCTCGGCCTCGTCCTCGCGCGGCCGGACGCAGTCGCCGCCCGTGTACAGCACCAGCAGCCTCTCCCACGGGAACCTGCACTCCCCCTCGCCCAGCACGCAGACGCCCCAGCAGGCTGCCGTCATCCTCTCGCCCTGCTCCTACACCACAGCCGTCTGCAGTCCTCCGGTACAGAGCCCGCTGGCCGGCCGAACTTTCCAGTACGCCTCGCCCACCGCCTCGCAGCTCTCCCTGATGCAGCAGCAGCAACAGCCGCAGCAGCCGCCGCCGCAAGCGTCCCAGCAGCCCCCCGGCGCGGCGCAGAAGAACGAGGTGCACAAGAGCACCCAGGCCCTCCACAACACCAACCTGACGCGGGAGGTGCGGCCGCTCTCGGCCTCGCAGCCCTCGCTGCCCCACGAGATCTCCACGCTGATCGCCAGGCCTCACCCCACCGTGGGCGAGTCCCTCGCCTCCCTCCCGCAGCCCGCCCCGGGTCCCGGCGTGCCCCCGGCCGGCCGCGCCTCCGTCCCGCAGCGGGTCTCGCTCTTCCGACAGATGTCCTCGGGAGCCATTCCCCCGAACCGGGGGGCCGCGCCGCCCGCTGCTCCCCTGCAAAGGGATTCTTCCACAGTCTTAAGCACAGAGCCCGAGGGAGACAAACCGCGTTTCGCCTCAAACTTATGATCCCTGATGACTGTGAGCAACAGACTTTCAACAAACCGAGCACCATCCCCCGAACTGTTGTAGCCTATTTCCTAATGTTCCCCAGCAGTCTACTATGAGAAAAATACTTTAGACAGCTTTGCCCTATGTAACGAATGTAAAAATTATATATGTATATGTATATACATATATATGTATACATATATATATTAAAAGAATTAAAAAAACTTGTTTGAATTCATGTCTTCCTTCCTCTCAACCATTAAGGAAAATTAAATTTAGCTGTAATGTTTTTAATGTGTTGACTTCAAAATCAGCCTAAGAGCTGTTCTCTGTCTAGGGGATCTGCTATTTTCATTATTGTCAACACAATAACAAACTTCAAACAAGTATATTAAAAATAAAGAAAAAAATATCAATTTAACTAACAAGTAACACGTAGCACTGACCGAGTGATATTCTGAAACCTGTGTTATTTCATTTATTGCGTATATGATGTTAATTTCTTGTGAAGAATTCAGTTGTTATTTTGCATTACATTTCATATGTTAGCACCATCCATTTGGATTTAGATTGGAAAAGCATTATATTGCAAACATCTGCAGTCTAAAGGGTGGCACTAGCACTCCTCTGGATAGGTTGTAACCTCATGACATGTCAACCCTTCTGTTGTTTAAGAAAATTGGGTGGACTTTGATCTTCATATTGCTAAAGACTTTTACAAAGACTAAATATTGCCATTGTAAATAACTTTTTAGAACCAAGCAAAAATAGCTGCTGTGTGGTGTACCATTGCAAGGTCTTTGTTTAGGAATTTAGGTTCCGCTTTTCACTTCAAAATTTACAGTTTTAAAATTTGTTAAAGCTAAGTGCAACACAACTGTTAAATTGTAATGCAATGGCTTAAAACCTATGGTGTTACTTTTACATGCAATGTTTTATGCAAAATTGTACGCTTGATCCTGCAAACCGCTTGTACTTCACCAGTACCATCACTTTTCTTCTTCTTGCCCTCAATAGCATCTGAGAATATTCCATGCATGCTTTGGAAAAAAAAAAAAAAGACGATAAAATAGGTTTGGTCAGTAGGAAAAGGCTTTATGGTATCTTAGAAAATAATAACCATTCATTAATTGTGTCTACCTTAAAATTCCTATAATGCTGACTTTGAATCTCTGGTTTAAGTCTAGAAGTGAGGTTTTTCATTTAAAAGATTATTTGTATACCACAGCTTGATTTAGACTTTCAGGTGCTTTCTGTGTCTTCACTGTAGTTTTGTAGTTGACTGTGGTGTTAATTTACAAAAATAAATATAATATAGCATCAAGTCTGTCTGGAAATGCACGATTTGCTCTGTGTATATTGTAATTAAATGGTTAGTATATCCTAAGGCATGTAGTGTCAAACATAGCCCATAGGTATGAGGTTTATTATTTTTTATGTCTTCAAAACAGAAAGGAAATGGTGACAGAAAGCAGGGTTAAAGCATACTGTTTTGTGAACATTTTGTTTTGTTTGCTCAAACCTTCACATTATCTTATCCAGAAAAAAAAAAATCGTAATCATTTGTGCCTGATTTGTCACATTAAATAGAGATTGAGACTAAATGTGTCATAATTCAACTCATTAAAAATCAGCATTATGGATATGATATAAGCATATATTCTGTTCCTTAAAACCAGGCTGATTCATGTTAAGGAAGTGAATGCAAAGGAGTTCTCTTTCCATTAATGCTGAATTTAACGATGCATGGAAAAATTAAATAACATCACAAACTACTAATGCAGTGAATCCAGATGTACTTGAGAGCCAAGTAAAATATACTAAAGCTAACAGAGCTTGAGCCTACGCTGCCTGTTATACGTTTTACTAAAGTGGTACATCAAATAAAATTTTTAAAAAATCTTCTTTTTTTTTTTTTTTTTGCTGACTCACACTCACCAGTAAAAATCGATGTAATTAACCCACTAACATGCTGCTGCCATTAATTTAAGTGACCTGGAGTGGAAATGGGGAAATGATTGTTTAAAAAGTGTCTCAAACATTATGGATACGCTGCAAGACCATTTATTTATCAGTAAAATACCCCTTATGTTATTTTAATGCTAACAAATTCTGTCAGTTAACTAAGATCATGTACTGATCTTGAAAACTGTTTAAGGTTTACATTTAATAGGAGAAATGGGGTTAGTAGCAAAATATTTTTATATATATTTTTATTTTATTTTAAGCACTATGAAGAAATATTAATTCACATGGTCTTTCAGTGAAACCATAAATAATTTTTAATGACTTTGTAATAGAGTGGACAATATCTAGGATTTGTATGTTAATTAAAAAAAAATGGTACAGGGTATAAAATTATATACGTATATATATATGTATGTATGAATGTATATATACTTAGATTAAGAAACAAATGACTCACATTCCTGTAATATAAAGGTCCATTGCTAGTTTCAGAAGTGACCTATTTTCTCTGTACATAAGTAAGCCCATAAGTATGAAATCTCACATCTGTACAAGTTGCAATGTATTAATGAAAAAAGGTTGGATCTTACTGCTGCTGGGAAGACTATAGGTCTGGTTCTTACAATAACTGTATGATCAGGGATGAGTTAGATTTTTTCTTTTGTCTTTGCTCAAAGCCATAAATAAACAAATATAAAAGATTATTAATAAATTGAAGAAAATATATAAAAAATAAAACCATGAATATTTTTTTGTTCCAATATCTTTATAACTGAGAAGGTTTTGCTTTAACATGGAAGAAGAATTGTTTGCTTATCTCTTTTCTTTATTCTGAGCCCAGAAGTGGTATGCACCAAGTATGGGGAGGTGGAGAGAAAACTGCCTTAGTAATTATGTGCACTCTTGAAAGAAGGGGGCTTAGAAATTCAAGGATACTACCTTATTTACTCGACCAATTCCTAAACTATATATCCTCTTCAGATTAGAGAAATTAATTTCCCTACAAAACTTTCATTTAAGCCGTTAATATTTATCTGTAATATTTTTAAAGTACAAATATTTGAAAATTACATTTGTTTTTGTATAAAATATTAAATATCCCAGTAGAAAATCGCAAAGAGCTGTAAGTATAACTTAAGGAAACTGTATTCTGTCATATTTTCACTTTATCTTACTGTGTGTGCCAATCCCAGATGATATACCTCTGAATTTGTGTATAATAGTTCAGATTTCAGGGGAACACTGATGTTCATTATTTATATTTTAGGACATTGTAAATTAAAAAGCATAGTGCATTCAAAGTAATAGCATATTATGTGTTTTACATTATCTTCGGTAGGATCAATAGAATCCTAGACTGATAAACTGATTTAAGCAAGCATGAGTAGTTGTATTTTCAATTTGCACTCTAGAGTATATTGTGAATTCCTTTCACTGGTATTTAAATTTGGTTTTTTTACTTTGCATTACTAAGATATTGCTTCAGTCCGATGGTAGTCAATGAAGTGCTTTTCAAAAATACCAGCATGGCACTAGAAAAATCTTGTTTAGCAGCAACAGTTCAGTTCTCCTGTCTACATTTGACCACTGCACAAAGTATGCTCTTTGGTTCAGTCTTATTATTCCATACATGTTTGCGTGCAGAACCAAAAGAAACAAAGGATTGTTTTTAAGTGATATTTCATGTCCCTGTATATGGTATTGATGTGTATCTACACACCAATTTATGTGTTTTTAAAATCTCTCCATTTCGAGTGTCTATATCTACCTCAGCTTACTTCCTACCTTATCTTGAACTGGAACCAAAGTAAATTTTATTTAAAAAGCAAACTTTCATGTCTTGATGCATGTCATTAAGAGTTAAGCTTAATATTTCTATTTTCAAAATTTATTCATGAGTTCTCAAACCAATTTCAGTATTTCTATACATTTGCATTCATTTCTAGTCTATAAGTGACATTGTCCAGTGAAGAAAAACATTTTATTTTGAAAATAAGATGTTAAATTTTTAAATGAGCCTGCAGTTCAACTGCTCTGGAAATATGCAGTGATATTACTAATTTCTGCTGTTCTTAAGTCCTCTGCTCATTCCAAAAAATTGTTACAATATAGGAACAGAAAGTGTTTGTTTACAAATAATGGGTCTGAGCTACAAGCACTATCTGAACACTCTAAAAACTGGGTGTGCAAATTTATTTGTTTAGTGGATTTGGTCTTTCGTCTCCTTCCTTTTTCTTTTTAATTAGGGAAGAGTAAGAGCATTAATATTGCCCTAGAGCATGTCCTATGAGAAATACATGCTGTGAGTCTTGAATTGGTACATTTTTCACCAACAATCAGTACCCAGCACTCCTTTGCATACTTAGCACTAGAATGCTAGTGTGAATCCACCCTGGCTGGCCCAATGGACACCATCCAGATGGTAAAATTTCTGATCCATGGTTACCTTTTTTCTTATCTCAGTGAAGACATGTTAGTACTTTAACATGCAATATCTTAACAAGAGTGTGGTAGCACTGAATTTTTCAGGTCAAGATATTGGAACATTCGAAAGAGAAAAACAGGAACATTAGAAAGAGAAAAGCAGTGATAGTAGACAAGCAGAGTATCAAACTAAATGAATTGATTTTAAATCTACCTGTGTATCTTCCATATACATTTTTAAATATTGCTATCAATTCCATTAGATGGTTTAAGAGGTATTCCAGGTCAGGTGATCCTTGGACTATGAACTGATGGACTCAAGCACACATTTGAACTGAATCTAAACTTTTCCTCATCCCTGAAACTGTTCCTGTCGTATGACGTTATTTCACCTGCTTGCAAAAGATACCATATTTTTTTACCATTCTCCAGTTTTACGCGTCAGATTTGGAATATGGTTCCCCCTATGCTCTGCTTTGAAGAGATTGTGCAGTGCTGAGTTAGTTCTTGCTGAAAGGTCATTGGCAAGTTTGGATCAAGTAGAACTGCAGCACAAAAGAGAGGAGATTGAATGTCGTAGTTTCAATCAGTCGAAACTAGCCTGTGCACTAAAGGGAAGCAGGTACTTGAACCATTTTTCTGGAAAGTCGTCAGGGTACTGGAGGGACTCTTACACTGAACCATAGGTCTCAACAAACCCAAGGTTCAATCGGAAAATGCATCTCCAATGTCAGCTGCTTCTGGACTCCACAGTTAATGAAAAGTTTGCATAGACACAACCCATAGTTCCTCTAGCATTAGTGAAGCATCTCATCTGTCTTCTGTTTAATGACTACTCCACTCTTTATAGGTTCCATATTGCACTTGACATCACAAAATCTGAGATGTTCTCTGGGTGGTACATTGAGTATGACCACTACTTATACATCTACTTCCACATCTTTTCTTCAGAAAGGAAAATATGTGCAGTCTGTGTTCAGTTTTGTTGTTGCAGTGTAGAGGTTTT